TAAACATACCGAACAAGGAAATTTCATTAAAATATTTAAGGGTAGTATTGTCATTTAAATGATAAGGAAGGTATGTATAACTTTTAAAACATCAAGGGAGCTAAATGAAATTGTTAAAAACCTCAAGGGAGGTTTCTCAAATTATCCCTTTATTTTTTTGTATCATTTTTGTATCATCCCATCCATCTTAGCAGCCAAATTAGACGGAAGAACTATGACTAACATTTTTATTAATTGGAGGACTATGTTTATGCAGTTATTAGTTGGAGGACTAAAAGTGCACAAAGTTAAAAGTTTGAGAATCACTACAGTTTTTTGCCCAACATAAATCAACCAAACGTTTGACAATAAGATTACTCATCCAAAGATAAGTAACCACTTCTCATTTCATGAAGAGTTCATTTGGTCCATCGGATCATATGATAATTTGGAGTTATTTACTTCTATTACTATAATGACATTTTATTCTAACAAGTGCATCAAGTCTACTATTTCCCTATAACATAATCTAATTTGTGAACTAATTTTGCCATGACTATAAATGATTATCAAGCTAAAGTTGATATTATTTTCTAAAACTTCCTAGATAACATAAAACATTCGAAACTTGAAGTTATAAATGAATATATTTTAACAAATTTATGTTATAAATGACTATTTTATTCTTATTTTATAAATGACTATAAATGTCTATTCATTTATGCTGTAAATGACTATTTTATTCTTATTCTAACAATAAAATAATAATTACTTGTTATTATTTCTCTTGAGCTCAACTGGGCTCGAACTTGAGATCAATGTTGAACTCGAGTTTTACAATGAAACTCATGGAGTTCGGGATCGTGCTAGATGTCGAGAAAATTGAGTCAATTCAACCCATTTTGTAATCCTATAAATGATAACCTTTTCATTAAATCTATATGTCTTTTGTAAATTTAATATTAATATATGTAATCAAAAAATGAATGAAAAAAATTAAGTTTTGGACTAATCTATGTTAATCATATACCATGGTTTTGGCCCGATGTGGTCATACAACTAACAAAACTAAACTTTTTATGTATTTACCCATGTTAAAGAAATAAATAATGTTTTCTCTGAAACCCGCTCCTACGAATACAAAATTTATGTGTTGGAATACTTTGGCCATGACAATTAAACTTTACTTTTTTGGACTAATTTACCCCTATTATTGATAGAATTAATAGTAGATCTGCCAAAAGCAATTTTGGTCTATAAGTAAGTAAATATATCTCATCCTATTCCTGACGAACCATAAGGAACTTGGTTTTTTTGTTAAACTAAAAATTTAATGTAAAACTAACCAAAGGCTTGACAATAATATTATTCATCCGAAGATAAGTAACTATCTCGCATTTCATGAAGAGTTCGTTTGGTCCATTAGATCATATGATAATTTGGGATTATTTACTTCTATTACTACAATGATATTTTATTCTAACAACTACATTGACTCTACTATTTCCCTATAATATAATCTAATTTGCAGACTAATTTGACTATGACTTATCAAGCTAAAGTTGATGTTATTTTCTAGGGTTAATCACATTTTATCCCTTTAAAGAATACCTCATTTCTCAGTTTACTCCATAACCTTTAATTTTACTCACTCAACCCCCTTTAGGACAAAATTGCCCTTGCATTATTTTGACTTTTCATTTTCCTTGTTTTCCTTTCTTTTATTTCTTTTTCTCTTTCTTCTTTATTTAATTTTTCCTCTTTCCCACAAAAATCTATACCTTTATGATTGAAATTAAAAAAGAGGAATTGCAGAGATCTATCTTCTTCTTAAATGATTAAAAAAATGGTCAAATCACTTTCCTAAAATACAATTTTTTAACCTTTCAATTCTTTTAATTTTGGGTTTTCCTCTTTCCTTTCTAGTTTCTCATTTTATTCTCAAGAAAATATTATAAGATAAAATTGTTTTCCTTTCTTTTATTTGTTTTTCTCTTTCTTCTCTCTTTCATCCTTCCCAATAGAAATTCCATTTCAACGAAAATTTTTGTTTTGAATTTGTAATTGCATATTAAAAGGCATCAAAAACTAATTTTGATTTTTTGTATGATGCCACGTGTCACAAATTTCAATTGATGATTATTAATTAGGTCACAATTTCATTTTAAGATATTTTTTTGGGAATAAAATGAGAAACTAGAAAGGAAAGAGGAAAATCCAAAATTAAAAGAATTGAAAGGCTAAAAGAATTTGTATTTTAGGAAAGTGATTTGAATATTTTTTTAATCATTTAAGAAAAAGACAGATCTCTGCAATTCCTCTTTTTTAATTTCAATCATTAAGGTGAAAATTTTTGTGGGAAAGAGGAAGAATTAAATAAAGAAGAAAGAGGAAAATATAAAGAAAGGAAAACAAGGTAAATGAAAAGTCAAAATAATGTAAGGGCAATTTTGTCCTAAAGGGGGTTAAGTGAGCAAAATTAAAGGTTAGGGGGTAAACTGAGAAATGGGGTATTCTTTAAGGGAAAAAAATGTGATTAGTCCTATTTTCTAAAACTTCCCACGTAACATAAAACATTCGAAACTCGAAGTTATAAATAAATATATTTAACAAATTGATGTTATAAATGACTATTTTATTTTTATTTTATAAATGACGTTAAATGACTATTTTACCAATGACTTGTTATAAATGACTATTTTATTATTATTTTAATAAATAAAATAATGATCACTTATTATTATTTTTTCTCAAGCTCAATTAAGCTCGAACTTGAAATTGATATTAGATTGGAGTTTTACAATGAAAGCTCGTGGAGAGCTCAGAATCGTGCTGAAAGTCAGAGAAAATTGAGTCAATTCATCTTGTTGTTCATTCTTGATAATGCCCACACGGAGTAAAACTGATATTTTTCATCTGGTGAAGTCTCTCTGATAGTGTGTCAATAAGAATCCCTCAATTGCATCTCAGATGCTTTTGATGTCCCCAAGGTGCAATCATATTATATTGAATGACTAGTACTCTTTTTTACTTTTCATCCTGTGGCTTATTGCTGAGTTTTTGGCTATGTTAGTTAACAAGTTTTAACCTGACTTCTTCTTCTATAATTTATAAAGGAAAAATCGTCCAAAACATCCCTCACATTTTGTAAAATGACTTTTTTCGTCCACCACTTTTAAAAGTATAATTTTATGTCCCTTACATATTCACATCGGTCAAATTTAGTCCCTAACTAGATTTTCGATCATTTTTTGGTCGGAATCCATCACGTGCAAGGCACGTGATCATTTTTTAAGGGTAAATTTGTCAAATTATATTTTACATAATTTGATCTATAGTCCTCCACATTTTATAAAACAAATTTTTTCGTCCCTCACATTTTATAAAATGATTTTTTTCATCCCTCACATTTCACAAAATGAATTTCTTCATTCCTCACATTTCAAAAAATAAATATTTCCATCCCTCACTAATTATGTATGTGAGGGAAACCCTAAAAAAAAAAGTGTGTGAATACATTTTGTTTAAACACACATATATATCTATTTGATTTTGTTTAATAATACGAATAGCATAAATATATGTATGTGTCTATTTGATTTCACTTAACAATATGAATACCATATATTATACGTGATCATTTGATTTCATCTGGTATTAGCTAGTAAATAATCTTGCATTTATTGTCAAGTTGGCCAATAAAGCTATTTTCGGTCAAAATACAATAAGAATATGCAAATTAAGGTTCTATTGGTAAATATTAGTCATAATCATACAAAAAAAGAAGATAGTCGACAAGTTGGGCCCAATTACATACATGTGTTTATGCTATTATTATTAAACAAAATCAAATAGACATATACATGTGTTTAAAAAAATGTATTCACACACATAATTAGTGAGAAATGAAAAATTCATTTTTTGAAATGTGAGGGATGGAGAAATTTATTTTGTGAAATGTGAGGATGAAAAAAATCATTTTATAAAATGTGAGGGACGAAAAAATTTATTTTATAAAATGTTAAGAACTATAGATCAGATTATGTAAAATATAATTTGACAAATTTACCCTTCAAAAATGATCACGTGCTTTGCACATGATGGATTCCAGCCAAAAAATGATCGGAAACCTAGTTAGGGACTAAATTTGTCCGATGTGAATATATAAGGGATGTAAAATTACACTTTTAAAAGTGAGGGACGAAAAAAGTTATTTTATAAAATGTGAGAGATGTTTTGGGCGATTTTTCCATGGACAGTGCTACAGTGCCTATAATTATGGTAACGATGTTAGGGAAACCTACTATCACAGGTTTCTATTACCTTTAGTGACAAATCGAATTTTTTAGCGACTTTTTAAATATTATATTAAAATAATTAATATTAACTTTAGTAAGTTTTTAATTAAAACTAGTAAGTATATGCCTGAAAGATAAGTTTTAGTCAAAAATAAAAATTTACCTTTTCAGTAATTTAATTTACTTATTATTTGACAAATGTTACTTTTGTTTAATTTAAACTTACTAATACTAAAAGTAAAAAATTGACATATTAAAGTAAGAAAATAATCAGTTTCTGAAAAGGGTTTGAGTTTCCACAACTCTCTAAAGTTGCTTCCCTTCTTTTTATTATCTTCTAACCTAGCGGAAGATTGTAGAAATTTTTCCTGGAAAAGGAAGGAGTACGATCATCATCTTATGGAACGGGATTAGCTTTTGCTAAAATTTAGAAAATTGATCAAGCGGGCTAAGCAATTCTATCATATCTTCAGGCTGAACTCTTCTGGTAGGTTTCATGCCTCAGTCTCTGTTTCTACCTTCTACTAAGCATTGATTCTCATTTCGGTCAATCAATTGGCCTGCCTAGGCGTGGAGGAAAAGCTAAATATGCTTTATAGATAGCACAGGTTCAGGAGAAAGGGTTTCCCCCCTATGCAATTATTGATGATACGGGTACACCTCTATCTAATACTATGTATCGATCGTACTTCAAATTAAGAAATTTAAAAATGCGGATTATATGCATTACTGCACATTTTTATGATAATTATTGTGTAGTGTTTTACTGAGTGATCTCATCTTTAAAGCACAATGATTTTGATGCCAGATTTCAATTTTACTGTTACAAGTAGCGTCTCCTGTTCTGCTCTATGATTTGGAGTGAACTAATTTGTCGTCTCCAATCATCCATTGCACTTATTGCAAATCATTAGTCACTGTTTAATTAGCAAAATTTTGGTTGTCAAATCGGTTTTTAAGAGCCAGGGGGCGCACATTAATTGGATCAATATGGAGATTTCTCGGCAGCAAGTTTTCATCACATGTTAGTATAGATTTTTCTATGTAGACTGTATGCCAGAGAGTGATTGTTTTAGTTTGAACTTTCCTCCTCTTGGTGAAATCCTTAGAATCTGTAGTTTGTTTGGCTACAATTACATTACTGGTCGATACACCAGCACTTTTTTTGTTTTATGTATCCCATTAGACAACAAGGATTCTCCCTCCAATATAGAGTTGAATCTGTGAGCCAGCTTAATCTGCATCTGCTAACCGACGATTTTGTGCATCATTCCAGGTGTGGATTTTAAGATCAAGCTGCTCACTGTTGGTGGGAAGAAGTTGAAGCTTACAATTTGGGATACCGGTAAGCAGATCCTATCATTTATAGTTTTGCTAACTGTTTATGGCAGCTTTCCGAATTCTCTTTATGAAGTTCTTTTGTGCAAATATGATGATACACCTTTACTTTTATTTGTTTTTTTTTTCTATCATAGGCTCAAGTGGTAAATCTCTTTGGACATAGAACTAGCTGTAATTTCACAAAATACAGCAGGACATTTTGCGCTTTACCTAGTACAAGTCAAATGTTTGTACTTTCTCTACTGTTCTCAACATGCCGTGCCATCCTAATTAACATTTTCCCCAGAAGTTGTTATTATATGTAAATCTTCTTATCTGTCAGAAGGTTTTGTCTTGCCATCGCAGCTGATCATGCAACTTCTTCCTCCTTAAGATTAGAAACTGACAATCAGTCCTACTTCACCATGATCAGACCCAATTTGGGTTTGTATTCCTCTTTTTCCTAGTGCTGCTAATGGAAATTTATTGTTGGGATCCTTGATTCATGACTTAAAATAAGCTTAGCCTCCTTTTTCATAAATAATCCAAGCTACTACTTTCTGATGATAGTGTGCCCCTCTTGCTATTTATTTCCACTGTCCTATTACTGCATTTTTTGTACTCCGTGATCTGATGGGGCTCATGACACCTTTTGCAGCTGGACAAGAGAGGTTCAGGACCTTGACAAGCTCATACTACAGAGGTGCTCAAGGGATCGTTCTTGGTATGTCATGGATAGATCACTATAGATTCTTTCATATTTATGAAGCCTTTTTGTCATCCTGCAAAATAAGTTATTCTTTTAAGACGTGATTGATAAGATGAGATTTTGTTTATTTAATTGCATTATCATCGTTCTCGGATTTCTGGTCAATTTATGGACTACTGTTGCTTAGAAAAACAGAATACACATAATCATTCTTTTAACTTTTGAGCATTGGCCATTTTTTAACATTGCTGAACTCTATGCAAAATTTGCTGTTTCTCTTGTCGGAGAATTTCTTTGATCATTTTCCTTTTGCAACATGGTTGGTAAGGTTCCTTCATGCATGTTTCTTTGTTTGCTTTAAGACCAGACTGCTGCCATCCCAATCCACAGTCCAGAGTTTTTCCATTTTGTGGGAGACTCTTCCCAGTTGAATAATATGAAGTTATCCATAGTAGGCATTGTCTATGCAGTCAGTTGGTATTCTGCCCAAAATATTGTACGGTACTGTGAACCTTTAGGTTTTTACAGTACTGTTTCACTAAGATGATCATCTATATGTGCTCTTGGCACTTCCTTTTTGTAAAGGAAAGCACTTGTAACCTTTTTTAGAGCTTGAAATTAAAAGAAGCATGAGTCCTAAATCATATGAGCATGATAGGACCAGTATATTTGTTGAAACTGAAATTTTTGTACAAATAATTTCCAGTTCGAGCATTGTCAATCTGTTTTGGAGAAGTGTCATGCAATTATTGATGAATTTTAGTAACTTTTTAATTAAAACTAATTTACTTACAAGCATAAAATCTCACACCATAATTTACTTACATCATTTATTTGTTGCTCATCCATAATTTACAATTGTCAACCCAAATAAGTAGTAGTGGTGGCGGTGGAGGAGGAGACTTTCATCTGATGTACTTTCAACATCATAGAGTCAAGGGTCAAACAGCACATCGGATGAGGCAGCATCTAGGATGACGGACCAAGCAGAGACTAAAAGCGGTTAATTGGCTAGCTAGCTCCTATTCAATTTGTTGTCTTCGTTATAGGGTGAGGGGAAAAAATATAGATTGCTACCTAATTTTTGTGCTTGATTAATAAACAGGGATAGAGCAGCGGGGGATTGGAATTTTGGATTTGTTGGTGGGAACTAGTTTCTGACTTTCTTTGTCCATTCATTGTAACCGAGGAAACAATAATTGTGGTGGTCTCATAAATACCTTCAATGAATCCGGAAAAAAGCTACCAGCTTTAGGTACTATGAATTCTTTGGCATAAAGAAATCCAAGCGTTACTAGTGCATCAACCTTTCCTACTCTAACTAAAATTAATGGCTAATAAAAGTCACCTTAGTACTTATCTCTTGAATTCTTAACTGTTTCAAAATTTAATAAAGAATTTTATCACAACCACAACACTTTTGAATTCAAAATTACAAAAAATCCTATCCTTTTTTTTTAAATTTTGGCTTAAAGTTAGCAAAAGTTCTACTTATTTGCACCTTTCCTGTTAAAATTATTTTTTGTTGCAATTTCCTATTTTAGTTATCCATTCGACACTAGTACGGGCATAGATATGGATTAAGCAACCAGTTTCAGGAATAATATTTTTTATTTAAAAAATTAATTTGAATTGAATTAACAATTTGATATTTTCATGGTAAAGTGTCATTTTTTGGTCCTTTTTCAAGAAAATTTAAGAAAACTATATTTTAGCAATTGTTGTCATTGACACTTAATTGAAGTTCATTAAGAATAATTGAAGTTCCAATATCAATACTCTATTCAAATGTAAATATTCAACCTAAGTAACAAAATAAATGATAGCTAAACAAACGAAATATGCGTTCAATTGATCGTGTTCAAACTATATATTCTGTTCATAGTTAGTATATATGAAATTGTATTTTCCATTTGTAGAAAATTAATATGCATTTTATATCTACTAACGAATAAATTACCTATGTTTTGAACAAATCAAACATAAACTTATGGTGTGATATGTATATAGTTGTTCACATTTATACGTATGCCATCATCCTTTCTTCCACTTGCTTTTTTAGTAGTGCAAATTTCTTTTGATTAAATTTAGGGGTGGCAATTTTCAATACGACTTGAAAACATGATATGAACCTAGAACGAAATTAATTAATTCGGATTGAGGTTTCGCAGGTTCGGGTCAGAATCGAGTCGAATCCGACGAACCCCAAAAGAAAACGGGTCGAATTTGGGTCAAATCGTGGGTGATCCGATACGACCCGATCACCTGTTTATGAATTAAAAATTATTTTACCTAACTAAACTAAGTTATTCTTTTTTTTTTCATAGGCATTAATCACTTAATTCTAAATGAATTTATTTAACTTATTTGAAGTTGAAATTATTATATTTGGACAAATAATGTATTATATTATTTTTTACTTTTATACTGCTTTTATTTATTTTATATTTGGTTTGGAACAAAACACTTTTACGATGTTTTAATTTATTTTAGATTTGGTTTGGGATTATTTATTTAAATTTTTATTACTTGATTATGTAATTAGTCTTATGTGAATTAGAAATTACAGTGGTAAATTAATAAATTAAAATTAAGTTTTGGGTCATTCGGGTCGTCCCGACAACCCGGAATTTTCAGATTCGGGTCAGATATCCTGACCCGTTTCGGGTTGGGGGGTCAAGTTCGGGTCAACCAGTTTTCTATTATACCTGGGTCTCAACCCGACCCGTCACTCCGATTTGGACCCGATTGCCACCCCTAATTATATTGTTAAAAAAATAACATATTTTACAAATTATTCCAATTTATTTAGAAAATGTTACTAATTTCATTAGAAATTATAAAATGTAATCATGGTTTATTTATTTTTTACTAAATATAAATACAACATACAAAAGGAAAATATATTTGACTTTGTTTTACTTTGATCAGAAAAACTTGTGGTAGAAATAACGAAATAGTGACAAGGGTGCAAATTTCAAATCAACAACCAACGTACACTTAATTACGCTAATTTTTTAGTTGACCAAACTAATAAATGCCATAAAGTAACTAGATTTGATCATTTATAAATTGACAATTTTAGCAGTTTATATACCATTCAACTATAAAAATTATGATTATTATAAAATGACATTTTATAATAATTTACATACTATTTGCCAATTAAAAGTAAGTTTGATAAAAAAAAATGCATATAAATCCATATTGTAAATGATACAAAATATATTTGAATCTCACGAAACTTAATATATGGGTAAATTTACTATAGTTTTCAAAGATTATGCCACATTAGTACAAATTTAACTTTTATACTTGTGACCTAGAAAATAAATTTATTAGAACACATAACCTTTGTAAATGATACATACATTTATTAAAAATGCTTAAAACACATAACATTGATGAATGATACATACAATCATATATTATACATTTACGTTACCAACAATTACTAACTATAATATTAAGTTTCAATCATTGCTAAAAAAATCTTAGCATTATTTTAAATAAACTTCCTAATACTTGTTTCATATAAGTTTCTTTAAGTAAAATAGTAAAATTATGCCACAAACTAGTAAGTCTTCATGATTAACCAAATTTACTATTCTATTAACAGGATTTACTATTAATCTGTGAAAACTTACTATTACTTGAACTAAACTTACTCTCCAAAAAGTAAGTTTCGAATATAGAGTAGTAATTTATTTTTTTTTAAAAAGTAGCTTTCATTTTTATTTCAATTTACTTTTTAAGACATAAATAGGATAACAGATTTCGTTACCATTTTCGATTTATTTTTTATTTGCTTTTAGCGACCATTTGATTATTTGATCGGTCTATCCACCTAAATAGGATAACACTTAAAAATAAGAAAGTAAGTTTTCTATCTAAAATAATAAGTTAATAGTAATAAATTAGTAACTTATACTTCAAAAGGTAAGTTGGAATAAATATTAAACTTACTTTTTAAATAAATAAATTACTACTTTATTTCCCAAACTTACTTTTTAGAGAGTAAGTTTAATTCAAGTAATAGTAAGTTTTTATACACAAATAGTAACTCTTACTAATAACATGGTAAATTGATTAATAATCAAAACTTACTGATTTATGGGACACATGTGCTATTTTATTTTAAAACATATTTCAAACTAGTATTAGGAAATTTATTTGAAATAACGATAAGATGTTTTATTAATGATTAATTCTTAGTACCTTAGTTAGTAAGTACTCATAATATACCTATATAATACATGATTATAGGTATAATTTAAAAAAATTATTTATATATTTTAAAATACTATGAAAAATAGTTTGACTTTTCACATAATCTTGTAAAATATGTAATAAAATTTTGTCGTATTATAAGCTTTTAATCATTTTCAATTTTTGAAAGGTTTGACAGTTCGAATAACAATAACAACAAATCTTGCTAGTTATATATAGAATATTACTTGTTTATATATCAAAATTTTTATAATTTAACACCTATGAATATAATAAGATGATAAAGTTTTAATAAATTTACATCTGAGACACAAGAAATAATAAGAGTAAAAGCCTAAACAAAATGAGAAATAATATCATAATAAAAATGACAAAATTAGTATAACAATTAATATAAGAAAATCAGTATGATCTTGATTTTTTTCCTTGGGAGATTGTTCATAAGAATAGGATCCAATAATTATAAATGAAAATCACATGCATGTATAATCTATTGTATAATTTAAATTAAATTTAGTTCACTTATAAAATGGTCCTAAAATAATTAGTACACTATGATATATGTTATTTTAACAACAAAATTTTTTTTTTACTAAAAGTCTGAAATATCCATGACATATGTATGAGGGATATTTTACCATATTTGTATCTCACATCTAATCATGAAAGTTAATTTGAGAAAAACTATTTTTGACAATAGAATTATTTTGAATTTAACCAACAAGTTGAGATTTTTTAAACAATAAAAGTGAAATATTTTGGGAACTTAGTTGTTTATTTTCCCATAATTAAAAATTTTAAATATGACAATTTATTCTTACATATTTTATAAGATCATATGCACAAAAAAAAAGTTTTCATAGTATATTTAAAATGTTTCAAACATATAACATTTATAAATGATACGTACAATTGTAAGTTTCTTTAAGTAAAATAGTAAATTTATGCCACAAACTATTAAATTTTGATGATTAACCAAATTTACTATTTTATCAACAATATTTACTATTAATCTATAAAAACTTACTATTACTTGAACTAAACTTACCCTCCAAAAACTAAGTTTCAGATATAGAGTAGTATTTTACTTCAAAAAAAAAATTAGTTCCATATTTATTCAAGTTTACTTTTTGAGACATAAAAGTTACTAATATATCGAGTTAACTTACTATTTTTTATGCAAAACTTACTAACCAAAATTTTAGGTACTATTTCATTTAGATGACCGGTACAACAGGTAATCAAATGGTCACTAAAAGTATTTTTACCTGTTATATCAGATAAAAATAATTTCGTTACCATAACTATCGTTACTTCAGACTTTTCCTTTTTCCATTTATAAATTCCCACACCACTTGCACAATTTTAATACTAGACTGTAGAGGCGGCCACCGTAGCAATGACCTAGACTTTATTATTATAGCATCCAAAACCATGGGCGCTTGCTACCAGCCAATAAATTTCTGCCGACACACAAACAATCAAGGCGGTGATTTTGAGAAGAATGCAACCCAAAACCCGAAGCATGCCAAAACGGAAAACCGGTATCAATTCCGTCCAATTTGGCTGTAATGGCAATGGATTACAGCCTCCAACAATTTAAAAGGAAAAAAGAACGAAAAGCAAAACCGGTATCAGTAATAGTATGGAGAAAAAAAAACAAACGGAGTTATTATTGAACTAAACTAACCAAATTTCAATTAAATTTTGTCAAATAAAGTGCAAATTTATTTGAACTTGCAGAATTCGATATAGCGAAATCCCAATTCATCAACTATATAATTATTGCGCATTCATGAATATAGATTTAGGAATAATGGTGCAGAAAATTAAAATTTTTTTAATAATATTACATAGGTATAAAGCAAAACTTGTTTGTTGAAGATAATTTCGTGGACCGCACAAGTTTAAGGGGGGGTTTTTATTTTTTTTTTCTTTTCTGCTTTTGGGAGTCTTCTTCCTGTCAAATTTTAATATTTGTTCTCTTTGAAAGTTTTTTTGCACTTAAAAATTCGGGTAGTAAAGTGTTAGTGAATTAAAAATTTAGACAACTTTAAAATTTAAAAACTAATTATACGCACAAAAACAGTAAAATATCCACTATACCACCGTTTGACGTTCACTTAGGCCGTCCGCTTTCTGTGCATCTAAAAGTGTTACATTCAAATATCCACCTCAACCGCACCTTGAATCCACTTAAATGTTTCTTAAAAAAAAAAAAACTCTTTTTTTCTAATCATTTGTAAGTTTAGTTTTGAAAAAATAAAACTTATAACTGTGAATTAGTACATGAGAAATTTAACTATTACACACTAAGTTCATTCTTCATCCTTCGTATACTTTGTTTGATATCCTTGATTTAATTCTTCTTCATATTTAATTATTCTTCATCCATTCCACCATCCCAAAACATGCCACCAGCAGCGCCCTTTTTATTATATATATATATATATATATATATATATATATATATATATAAAATTGACGTCGTCTCTACCGTGTGAATCGAACTGCTTTCTCTTTGATTGAATCGACCTTCTCGTCTGAGATCAGTTAAAAGCAACAGAGATTAGAAGTTTTGCTGCTGCACCTAACAGGCAATAGCTTCTCCTCCTTTACTAGTTGTTGAAAGCAAAGCTCACTTTGCCCGCATGGCTGACACTGTTATCTCTCTTGTTATTAAGAGAACTAGCGATCTGCTGATTCAAAAAATTGTTTTCCTGAAAGGCGTTCGACGACAAGTTGAGAGACTTCAAAATGATCTGGTCCGGATGCGGTGTTTCCTGAAAGATGCTGATCAGAGGCAAGATGACGATGAGAGGATCTGCAACTGGGTTTCGGAAACCAGAGCTGCGGCCTACGATGCGGAGGATATCATTGAGATCTTTGCCAGCAAAGTTGAGTTCTTCACAAAGAAGAAGGGACTTGTCACCAAATTGACGTATTATCCCTTGAAAATTGTGAACCTCTACAAGATAGGTAAAGAGATTGAGTCCTTACAGGTGAGGCTTAATGACATAGCCGACAGCCGTGAAAAATACGGTATAAAAAATCTTGGGGAGGGGATGGCTACACACGGGGAAGAGCTTCAACGGATCCGGCAGTCCCCTCCTTTCAGCGAGGACAAGGATGTAGTGGGCTTCGGGGAGATAACAAATTCCCTGGTGGCAGAACTTTTGAAAGAGGACAGAAACCGCCGTGTGGTTTCGATCATTGGCATGGGAGGTGCTGGTAAGACAACTCTAGCCAAAAAAGTTTATAACCATGCTGATGTCAGGACAAGATTCAACTGCCGTGCTTGGGTCTGCGTCTCTTCAAGCTACGATCACAAAAAGATGCTGAGGGCAATCATAAAGCAATTGAATGAAATGAGTAAAGAGCTACTTGAAATGTTGGAACAGATGGAAGAGGAAGACTTGGAACGAAGGCTGTATAAAGATCTACAAGACAAGTGTTATCTTGTGGTACTTGATGATGTGTGGAAGGAAGAAGTGTGGGATTGTCTTGCTAGGGCCTTTCCTGATGTTAATACATCAAGTAGACTGCTACTGACAAGTCGCAATCGGGATGTTGCTCAACACGCTGATGCTCTTAGCAAACCACATGAGCTGAAAACTTTGGGGCAGAAAGACAGCTGGCAATTGTTTCTCAAAAAGGCCTTAGACCATGGAGCTAATTCTGGGTGTCCTCCCGATTTGGAAGAAGTAGGCAGAGAGATTACCAGAAGATGTGATGGTCTGCCGCTGCCCATCACGGTTATAGGTGGCCTGCTGCTGGCAAAGAAAAAGTTGAAAAGTGAATGGGAGAAAGTTCTCAACAATTTCAGCACACACCTATCAAGGAGCCGGAGTGGGGTATCAGCAATTCTGGAATTAAGTTATGCAGACCTTCCTGCCAATCTGAAATTTTTCTTTTTGTATCTGGGTTTGTTTCCCGAAGACTCCGTGATTTCCGTGCCCAAGTTGATTCATATGTGGGTTGCAGAGGGAATAATGCAGAAAAGAGATGCAGAAAATTTGGAGGAAACTGCAGCATATGATGATGTGGAACGACTTTGTAGCAGAAATATGGTCCAAGTGGCGGAAATGACTGTTGATGAGAGGATTAAAAGCTGCAGAGTCCATGATTTACTGCGAGAACTTGCAATCAGAAAGGCAGAGGATGAAAATTTTTTTCAGATCCATGACACCAGAGATGATAAAATATCAGCCAAATCCAGGTACCTTGCTGTTCATGTTCTCCCTTGGGATGAAAATTATTTTGGGACTTCGACCCCTCCTCTCCGGTCTCTACTTTTTTTGAATGTCCATGACTTTAGTCTTAGCTTCAGAAGTTTCAGAAAGCTTAGGATACTAGACCTTGAGAATGTTAAGCTACCGTATAATTTGCCAAAAGAAATTGGTAAAGTCAGGCTTCTAAGATATCTCGGTTTAAGACACACATCCATTGCAAGGCTCCCTCATTCCTTCGGTTGCTTGCGATGCCTACAAACTCTTGACATACGGAACTTTGAACCAGTGATAGTTTCAAATTTCATTTGGAAGCTTGAAAGTTTACGGCATCTATATGCGTATGGTATGGAATGTGATGTGCCTCTTAGGATTGAAGGATTGAGAAATCTCCAGACTCTGTCACGCGTACGCTTTGATGACATTATGCACAATAACATGATAACTTTGACAAGTCTTCAGAAACTGTGGATTTGGGTGGATGACAAGTCAGAGATTGACAAACTCTGCTTGCATTTATCTGAGGTTGGAAGTCTAAAGGCGCTATGTCTTTATCGTACTCAAGGAAGAGAGTGGCCACAATCTCTAGCTGGGCTTTCTAAGCTCCATCATGTAACGGAGCTCAAGCTAATCGGGAGGGGTTTGCGAATGCTGCCTCCTGATTTCCCTCCAAATCTCTCTCGCTTGTCTTTGAAACACACAAATCTCACGGATGACCCAATGCCAGTACTAGAGAAGTTAGGACAGCTGTCGTTCCTCGAAATGACGGATGCGACATATGGGGGACCACAGCATATGGTCAGTTTTGGGAATGGGTTTCTCCAATTGAAATTCCTTGAGCTCAGCCGCCTGTATGCTTTGCATGAAATGAATGTGGAGAAAGGTGCACTGCCACAGCTCCAGTGCCTGAGAATCAGGAAGTGCCCCTCATTACGGAAGTTGCCGGAAGAGCTGAAGCACATATCTACTCTCGATGTGATTGAGCTTGTGAACATGCCAAAAGATTTCATCAGTGGGCTTGATGCGGATATGGTATCCAGTGTCCCTAACCTCAGAATGTTTTGACTCTAGAATCTAAGTCCTTATTTGTATTTCGCGCATAGAACGGAACGTATGTAGTGTAGAGATCAATAAAATTATTTCAAGTTTTTATCAAAATACATAAATAAAAAGAATGTTTCCGATTCAACATTATTTTTGTTTTTCCCAATTCAACATACTTGCTTTGCCAGTGTTTCACTCTTTATTGACGTCACATAATTTAGACCAACCGAAAAGCATTTTAAGTCCTTTTTTTTAAAAAATTATTTGAAATCTCACACTTCAATACTTGTTTTTTTTGTCATACACACATACTTATACGCACACATACACGCATACATAGTATCTACTCCTGTACCTTATGGGATTTGTGTCTCTATCAATTTACATTGCATATATCATATTAATACAAGTAGAAATAAATTTAAAAAAAAAAACTGTTCATGTCTGCGGTAGGCCTCAAAAATCTTGGAATTTGGAAATGTCTAATTCATTAATAAAAGCCTTGAAGTCTAAGTGTTAAACTTTGGGTGAAGTTTAAGGGTCGAGTTAGCTTGAGACTGCAAAAACGAACAAAATTTCGAGCTTTGGGATATCATACTCTTTCAGCTGCATATATATGACTAATACAAGTTTCAACTTTCTAGTAGCAATAGTAGTTACCCTTTTTTTTTTGGCCCTGTCTGCGATAAGAGCAATCAGAGAGTTACCTAATAAAACTCAGATAAACTCAGGGTTGATTACTCCTAAGTCCTGCCAGCTTGTTAAGTGCACAAAGGACGCGAGTTGATAGGTTACAATTTTCTCATTTATTTATTATTAATTTTCCCTGTTATCTGATCTGATGTGGATTAATTGTTGGATTCTATTCATTTTTAGTATTTTGCATTTATTTCAGGGAGTAGAACGAAAATATAATAACAGGTGCCAATTTAACGGAAAAGAAGTCCGGATGATAGAGTTTGTCCCAAGGATATTTTTTTGGAAAAGAAGATGTCCCGCCCATTTTGATAATTTCTGCAAAGGAATGACGGACGGAGGGTTTCTTTTTCCTGGTGAGCCGCCGCACATCTGGGGGAAGAAAAAATAAAAGAATGCATTAGAAAAAGACTAGAATTAGATTTGCAAGAGGAGAGCACTAGCCGCAATTCTTTGCTGACTTTTTCGTTTGGGAATTTCGCTGGCTTTCCTCTCCCGAATGTGAGGCACTACTTAGCATTCTTAGCTTTGACTTTTCTCCTTGACTTTTGGTAATGATTCTCCACGGATGTCAGGAGAAAGAATTGGGGGAAAAGTTTTCATCCCTTTTTGCTTGTAGCAGTTTCTTTTTCTTCTGGGATATGAACAGACAAGTTAACGCATTAAATCATCCGCTGCAATTTCGTTTTTCTTTACTCCTTCGGTCGAATTGAATTTGCCCGTCGTCCAACTGATGGCCGCGGCTCTCTCTTCAATTTCTTGCGGGTTTTGTTCATCAAACATGAACTAATTTTCCAATTTTAGTCAAGGGATAACGGAGGTTCTGGTTCGTCTAAAAATTGTGAGATCGATTTAATTTAATCTTTTTCTTTTATTTAATGGTATTCGCGTATTCCTTGATTGCTATGCTTATGGTTATTTAATTAATTGATTGCCTTGGATCCGAATAATTAATTGATTTGGTAATCTATTGTCAATTAGGGCATTAAATCCATAATTGTTTAATTGTCCTGAAATAGTGACAATTGGCACGATTAGATTCATGTCAGGGGGATACGCGGGCTAATCTGAAATAATCCTGGTAGTGCGTTATTTGGTTAGAATAGAGCTCCTCTAATACGTAAGGCAATTGGGAAATTAAATCTTACGGGTGTACCTAGGATTATTTCCTAATTAGAGCAGTGATTAACGGACGTACCTTAATCACCGACACAGTAAGGAGGGATTGACTGCCATTGCTTGTTTGGTAGTTATAACCTATTTATTGATGAATAATTGGAATTGCCCTTGCTTCGATGATCAATTAGGTGAACCATTGCTGAAGTTATTTCTTGGCTAGATCTTTAATTAATATTACCTTGACTTTAGTGAATTGCCATTTGACTTTTAGTTGCCTACTTTATTTTATTTTTAATTGTTTCCTTGTTTTAATTGATTTGGGTCTTTAATTATTGTTACTCTAAGTTCAGTGAACTGTGGTTTAATTTCTATTTAGTTATTTATTTTTATTTTTTTATTTGAATTTATTTGATTGTCGTCGTTCCTACAAAATCACCCCCTGTGTTACTTTGGATTTCTTAAGAAACAAATATACCCAATCCCTGTGGATACGACCCTACTTGCCCTGTCTACAAATTCATAATTATTTGTGAAAAAATAACCATCCCATTTGGGTATATCGGATCAAGCAAACTCTTCGGAAACAGGGTGAATCAAGTAACTCATTGCACACCTAGAGTCTCTGCTCCAGTGCTTGAAATTGAGTTTTGGTCATTTTAACTGGCAATTAGGTTTAATTTTATTATTGTGCAAGCTTCGACATCCTGTCACGGGTCCCACAGTATCACGGGTGTGGCCGCCATTAAGGCCATTGCCAGCCGGAGTAGATTAATAAGATACTTGAAACAACTAATAAAAAGGCAAAAAGGTTGTGTCCTTTACACACACACATGCTCCAACATTAAAAACTCCATAATCAGTTGCCATCTGAACTTTCTTTCTTTCTTTTTTTGCCGGCCTGATGGTCACCACCAAGCAATTAAATCTTAGTGGCGTGACGTGAGAGGTCGGGAATTCAACTTTTGTCTTCCATTAATTTGTCACTATATGTGGCTGCATTCAATAGTATTTTTTTTTTTATATGGTGATTCAACTCCCATCAGCTCCCGCTCCCCCTAAATTAAGATAAATTATATTATAAAAATATTACCATTGTGACAAAAAAAAAAAAAGTTGTTGCCATCTGGGCTTACCACGCCATGTATTTGGTTGATTCTAATTTTTCCCATGCTGCCCAAACTGAAAAAGAGAACAAGGAAATAAAAGCCTCTATTCATGTACTTTAAATGAAGTAAAGAATGAAGTTGGCAAACAATTCATCCCATATAAAGTGTTGGTCCGTTTGAAAGTGAGAATTGATTGCTTCCTAAATACTGCTCATTATATATATAAGATGTTAAAAAAAAATTAAGCATGCGAAAATCAAATAACAAACTGTTCATTTAAGTTGTTTGGGATAAACATTGAAGGGGAAAAAAGTACTGAGGGGAAATTTTTTTAATACGGGCACAACTGTAGGCTATTTATTATGAAAGGCATTTTTAATAATTCTTACACGTAATGTAATTTTTTTTATGTGTTTGTAGTAATTTCATTTTTACAAAAATTAGTACAAATGTCGTGTGTAATGGATAGTCCAAAGATTGTCTGCTATTTATAAGTTTGACACTGTAATAATTCGAACTAATTGAATTGAAGATATCTGAGATAGGGAAGGGAAAGAGAGAGGAAGAATTGAGAATGAGATCTGAATTAAGGGAGAGGGAAAAGAGAGGGAAAAGAAAGGTTTGAATTGATTAGGAAAGAAATCTGGAACAACGTATTACACGTCCTGCCTTCAATGCAGATGAATTACTTATACAATTCTTAGCTTTGAGCTCAAGACACAGCCTGCTAGTACTAACTACTTTTCCCGCCAAATAACTGCTCTTCATTCTGTTATATCAGTTGCTATCCTCGTGACTCTTCATGCTATCACATTTCTGGTGCTACTCCTTTGCTGAGTCATCCCCGTCAATTGTGCATGACAATTTGGACTGATTCCAGGCCATAACAATACCTCCCCCTAAAAACAATCCTAGTCTCTAGGATTGATTAATTTGGAAAGAAGGAAATTGAGCATGAATGAACGTCCAATCCTCCCAAGTGGCTTCCTCAGGTTCCATGTTTTCCCACTGCACCAACACTTGCTCAACTTCCTGACCCTTCCTATAGATTGTCCTTTTATCCAGCACTGCTGAGGGGGTGACCTCAAACTCACTATCTGTGTTCAAGGTAGGCAAAGCAGTGCTGACTGGGGCCTCCTTTGGTGACTTTTTGAGCAATGAAACATGAAAAACAGGGTGTACGGTCGATCCTGCAGGTAGCTTCAGCTTGTATGCTACAGTCCCCACCTTTTGTTCCACCTGATAGGGCCCGTAGTACTTAGCAGTCAGTTTCAAATTCCTCCTTACGGCTACTGAGGTTTGTCTGTAAGGTTGGAGCTTCAAATAAGCCCACTCCCCCACTATAAACTCCCTGTCACTCCTCCCTTTATCAGCCATTTGCTTCATTCTGTTCTGAGCTTTAAACAAGTTCTCTTTGAGCAAGGAATTCCAGCCTACTCTTTCCTGTGCCCAATCCTCCACAGCAGCTACTATTGTCTTATCGGGCCTCAGGTTCAGTTGTATAGGTTTGTAACCATATAAGGCCTGGAAAGGGGACATTTGTAGACTGCTATGGTGGTTAGTGTTATACCACCATTCTGCTGCAGGAAGCCATTTCCTCCACTTCCCTGGTTGATACATACACACACTCCTCAGGTAGCTTTCTACACATCTATTAACCCTCTCAGTCTGTCCATCAGACTGAGGGTGGTATGCAGAAGTGAGGTTTAGCTCTGTGCCAAGCATCTTGAAGAGTTCCTGCCAGAACAAGCTAGTAAAGGCTTTATCCCTATCAGAGACAATGTGTGTTGGTAGGCCATGTAACCTGAAGATCTGATCAAAGAATGTCTCTGCTACACTTTTAGCAGTGTAATGAGAAGTCATAGGGATGAAATGAGCATATTTAGTAAATCTATCTACCACCACATAGATGACATTACAACCAAAAGATTTAGGCAAACCTTCTATGAAATCCATGGAAATTTGTTGCCACGCTTGCTCAGGAATGGCCAATGGCTGCAACAGTCCTGGATAAGCGCAATTCTCATTTTTACTTCTCTTGCAGACATCACAATTCTGTACATACTGTTCGACCTCTTTTTTCATTCCAGGCCAGTATAGGTAGCTTTTGATCCTCTGATAAGTACCATGATTCCCAGAGTGACCTCCAAGACAAGAATCATGAAAACAGGAAATCATTTTTGCCTTAGTCCAGCCTCTGCTCCTACCCAAATCCTTCCTTTAAATCTCAAAATCCCTTGGTTATACGAGTAGTCAGGTAGTGCTTCAGCTCCCATGGCCAGCCTCAGTAGAACCTCCTTTGCCATGTCATCACCATTGTAGCTCTCAGCTACCATTGACAGCCATTGAGGCTTGATGGCAGTGATGGCATGTACAAATGTTTCTGCTGGCTCCTCCTGCTCTCCCCTTCTTGATAATGCATCAGCAACCACATTGTCCTTACCCCTCTTGTACTGGATCTCATAATCCATCCCCATAAGTTTAACCAGCCACTTCTGTTGAAGGGGAGTGTTTATTTTCTGATCCAGCAAGTATTTGAGGCTTTCATGGTCAGTCTTTATGATAAAGTGGTTCCCCATCAAGTAGTGTTTCCATTTTTGAACTGCTGTGATGAGTGATAGAAGTTCTTTTTCATAGGTGGATCTGGTCTGGTTCTTCTGGCCCAACACTTGGCTGTAGTAAGCTATAGGTCTCCCTTGTTGCATCAGCACAGCCCCAATAGCTAACTGACTAGCATCAGTTTCCAATTGGAATGGTTTTGAGAAGTCAGGTAATGCTAATACTGGAGATTTACTCATGACCAGCTTCAACCGTTGAAATGCAGATTCTGCAACAGCACTCCAAGCAAATTGATCCTTCTTCAGTAACTCAGTGAGGGGCTTAGCAATTTCTCCATACCCCTTAACAAACCTCCTGTAATACCCAGTTAGGCCCAAAAATCCTCTGAGGGCCTTTAAACAAGTAGGAGTTGGCCAGGACAGCATAGCCTCCACCTTGGATGGGTCAGTATTCACACCTTCACTAGTGATAACATGTCCCAGATACTCCACTTGGTTTTGACCAAAAAAACATTTAGACATCTTTGCAAACAAGGAGTGCTTTCTCAAGGTCCCTAATACTAAGGATAAGTGGTGTAAGTGGGTTTTATAATCTGGACTATAGATCAGAATGTCATCAAAGAACACAAGGACAAATTTTCTGATGTAAGGTTCAAAAACTGAGTTCATTAGTGCTTGAAAGGTGGCGGGGGCATTTGTCAGGCCAAATGGCATTACAAGAAATTCATAAAGTCCAGAATGAGTTCTAAAAGCAGTTTTATGGATGTCCTCAGGTCTCATTCTGATTTGGTGATAGCCTGATCGCAGATCAATTTTAGAGAAGACCCTGGCTCCATGTAACTCATCCAGTAAGTCATCTATAATAGGGATTGGAAATTTATCTTTGATGGTAAGATTGTTCAGTTGTCTATAATCAATACAAAGCCTCCAACTCCCATCTTTCTTTTTAACTAAGAGAGCAGGTGATGCAAAGGGGCTGTGGCTAATTTGTATAAGACCAGAGGTTAGCATGTCCTTCACTTGATTGTCAATTTCATTTTTCTGTACATGGGGGTTCCTATATGGGGGAATTTTGAAAGGTTTGGCATCTGGTTTAAGGGGAATTTGGTGATCATGGCATCTGTTTGGGGGAAGAGTTTTAGGTTCAGCAAAGATATCATCATATTTGGCCAACAACTGAGTAAGAGAATCTGGTTCAGAAATTACCTGTGAGTTGTGAACCTTCACCATACAAGATTGCTGCAGAGCCTTCCTGATCTTATGTCTGACAAATTTGTGAGCTGTTGAACCTTGCTGCATTCTAACGTTTGTATTGTTGGAATCTCCTTTTAACACCACGTGCTCTCCTCCCTTCTCAAAAGACAGGTTTAGTCTCTTGAAATCAAAGGTAATGGGGCTGTAGGATTTCATCCAATCCACCCCAAGGATCATATCATAAGGTTCCAGGTCCATGACAAATACATCCTGTGTAAATGTGTGGCCCTGCATGTCCCACTGCATTCCTGGAATCCATTGGTCGCAGTGCAGCTCTTTGCCATCAGCAATCTTGACCTTAAAAGGCCTATGATTCTGCACAGTTTCTGGGTACAACTGAGCCACTGATCTCCTGATAAAACAATTGGTACTTCCTTGATAGGGTACAATTTGTTAGTAATTTTATTATTAATTTTCCCTTTTATCCCTGACAAATATTGTGTTAATTGCTGATATTTACTCATATTTGGTATGTGGACGTAATTTCAGGAATAAAGCAGAAAACTACCAAAAGGAGGGACTTTATGGAAAATATGGAGACTTCTAAGGGCTTCAATGCTTGGGTCCTTGAATTTGTGGGGACCACAAGCTAGTGGAAGGCATCTAGTCATTTGGACTCTAAAAAGAAAGCTACGGAAGGAGACTTGGGGCAAGAAGTACTTTGAAGGCTTTGCCCACATGTGTGGGGACCACGTAGAGAGCCTTGAGTTATCTTTCTTTTGTGGCTTAAATAGGGAACGGAGAGTAGCAGAGGAATATCTCTGGTTTTAGTCTTTTAGTGTAGCTTTACTTTTTCCTTCTTTTGACTGGCCTCTGGCACGCCAGGTGTTCGACAAAATTCCCCAACGGGAAAAACACCTTTTATTCCTTGCTTCTTAATAGAAAACGCTATGCCTTTGCAATCCATTAATTCGTGTGGTGATTTAATTATGCGGCGTGGCTAAATCTTCCATCTAGTCAAGGATCAACTCGACGGCGCAGTCCCGAAAACCTGTGAGATCTAATTAGTTTTCACGCGTTCCTTAATTTATTAATAATTGCACGTTGCCTGCTTGTATTTTCATGGGATTATTTTATTAATTGGATGTCAAGGGCCCGATGTTCAATGTGATTTATTAGTCTCGTGCCAATTTAGTCAATTAAATCCGTAATTGTTTGATTGATTAATATTAGTGGCAACTGGTGTGTTTACACATTAGGGGAACGTGCAATCTAATTTAAATAACCCTCGTAGCGTGTTATTGGTTAGGGCTAGGTTTTTCTAATATTAATGCAATTGGGAAAATAATTCCTACGGTCGTACCTAGGAGTATTTTCTGGTTAGGGGTGATCAATGGTCGTACCTTGGTTATCAATAATTTAAGGAAAAATTGGTCGTCAGACTATAACTAACCTATTAATAAATTAAGTGAACCTCTCCTGCATCAATGATCGGATAAATGGACTGTGTCTGAGTAGTTGTATCCTTGGCTAGAACTTATTTATTCTTGATTTAATTCCTGCTTTACTTGTGCTAGTGATTTATTTATTTTTTATTAAATTGTTTAATTATTTTTAGTTCCATTCCGGTGAAATCCCCCCTTATCAATTGGACTTTAAAAAGAGACAGATATCCCCAGTCCCTGAGGAGACGACTTTACTTGCCACTGCCTACTATTTTTGCCAACTAATTAATTCTGGTATATCGGGTTCAGCAAACTCTTCGGGAACAGGGTGAATCAAGTAACCCATTGCACCCCTAGAGTCCCTGCTCCAGTACCTAGGATTAATTATTGACAGCTCTTAGTGGTATCTAGGTTCTATATTATTATTATTATTGCACAGGTTGACGACCTGTCAATTTTTGGCGCCGTTGCCGGGGACTGGCGTTATTATTTGTTTCTTTTTAAATTTCATTTTTGCTCTAATTTTCTGGTATTTTTCTAGTGTATGCCTAGGTCTTCTCGTGCAGGTGAATTGATTTTTGACCCTGAAGTAGAGAAAACCGCGCGTAGAACAAGGAAAGAAACCAGACAGCTCAGAGAGGAGCACTCCAGGGCTACATCTCAGAGACCTGAGCCCGAAGTTGAACCAGCAGATTCGTTTGGTGACACTTCAAGTGATTTTTGCCAAGAGAGCGTCGACATGGCAAACACACAAACATTAAGGGAGTTGGCTGCTCCAAACTTGACCCAACAACCTCTTTGCATAACTTTTCCTCGCCTTAGTGAGAATGCAGCTTTTGAATTAAAACCTGGTTTAATACATTTGTTGCCTGTTTTTCATGGTCTGCCAGGAGAGGAACCCCACAAACACATGCAGGAATTTGATGTGGTGTGTTCGAGTATGAAACCTTCGGGAGTAACTGATGAACAAATTAAATTAAGGGCCTTCCCTTTCTCTCTCAAGGATTCGGCAAAGGACTGGTTATACTGTCTACCTGCAGGCATTATCACCACGTGGCCAGAGATGCAGAAAAAATTTTTTGAAAAATATTTCCCTGCATCCAGAGCTGCTAGCTTGCGAAAGGAAATATGTGGAATCAAGCAATTTCACGGGGAATCCTTGTATGAATATTGGGAGAGATTCACCAGGCTGCGTACCCGATGCCCACATCACCAAATAAGTGATCAACTGCTGATTCAGTATTTCTACGAGGGGCTACTGATGAACGATAGGAATATCATTGATGCAGCAAGTGGTGGTGCACTGGTAAATAAGACTACCCAGGAGGCATGGGACTTAATTGAGCGAATGGCAGAGAATTGCCAGCAGTTTGGTACGAGAGCAGATGTTCCTACGAGAAAGGTCAACGAGGTAAGTTCATCTTCCATCGAACAGCAGTTATCTGAATTAACCTCATTTGTTCGACAGATAGCTGTAGGAAATGCACAGCAGGCCAAAGTGTGTGGGATTTGCACGAATATTGGTCATACCACTGACTCGTGCCCACAGTTACATGAAGAGGGAATTGAGCAAGCAAATATGGCTGGTAACATGCCCATGCCACGTAGACAGTATGACCCCTATTCCAACTCATACAATCCGGGTTGGAGGGATCATCCAAATCTAAGCTATGGGGGAAATAAGCAACAAAATTTCATCCCCAATAGACAGCAGGGCTTCCAGCAACAATATCAAACAAGGAATCAACCCTCCTCTACCTCAGGTATGTCCCTAGAAGACATGGTTAAAACCATAGCCTCTAATACTATGAAATTTCAACAGGACACTGAGGCCAACAATCAAGAGATGAAAGCACGTATGCAAAACTTGGAAAATCAGATGAGTCAATTAGCCTCCATTGTCAACCGACTAGACTCCCAGGGGAAGGGAAAACTCCCATCCCAACCTGAGGTGAATCCCAAGAATGTAAGTGCAATGACCCTCAGGAGTGGGAAAGAGGTTGAAGGTCCAGCCCCAGTGGCTCCGAAGGACAAGAATGAGGACCGTATTGAGAAGGAGCTTGAGGAAGAAGGAACTCCTGGCACAAATGAAGAGGTAATACGTAACCCTGTGGTTCCGATTAAGCCTAACCCACCACCTTTTCCTAGCAGGTTGGAAAGGCCGAAAAAGCAAGACAAGGAAAAGGAAATATTGGAGATGTTTAGGAAGGTGGAGATAAATATCCCCTTACTTGACGCAATTAAGCAAGTACCCCGGTATGCCAAATTTTTGAAGGACCTATGCATCAATAGGAAGAAACTGAGGGGAGATGAAAGGATAATTGTGGGAGAGAACGTATCTGCAGTGCTTCAAAGAAAACTTCCACCCAAGTGCGGAGACCCAGGTATGTTCACTATTCCGTGCAAAATAGGGAACACTAGCATTAGGAATGCCATGTTAGATTTAGGAGCCTCTATAAATGTGATGCCCAGGGCTATATATACTTCTCTGAATTTGGGCCCTTTAAAGGAAACTGGCATTATAATTCAATTGGCTGATAGGACTAATGCTTATCCTGATGGGGTGATAGAAGATGTGTTAGTACAAGTGAACAATTTAGTGTTCCCTGCTGATTTTTATATTCTTGATATGGGTGATGAACGTTCTCCAAATCCATCACCAATTTTGTTGGGGAGACCCTTCTTGAGCACGGCTCGTACAAAAATTGATGTTAGTAAGGGCACCCTAACGATGGAATTTGATGGAGAAATAGTTCATTTTAGTATATTTGAGGCCATGAAATATCCGTGTCATTCTAATGCTGTTTTTGCTGTGAGTATAATTGACCCTTTGGTGCAAGAAGTATTTGAGATTAATGGCAGGGATGAATTGGAGGTAGCAATCACCAAACATTTGGATCTGGAAGTGGCCTGCGAAATGGAGTTAGACATCAATTTGCAAAGAATGGTTGGAGCCTTGCATTCACTAGGCCAAAGTCCTCTAAGGTATGATGTTGCTCCTATATTTGTGCCTGAACCACACCTAAAGCTGTTACCTTCTATCGTGCAGGCACCTGAAGTGGAGTTGAAACCCCTTCCCGAGCATTTAAAGTATGCCTTTCTAGGTGAAAAAGAGACGTTACCAGTGATAATCTCATCCAAATTATCACCCACGGAGGAGGACAAACTGCTGCGGGTTTTAAGGGAGCATAAGGAAGCTATAGGGTGGACAATTGCAGACATCAAGGGTATAAGCCCGTCTGTGTGCATGCATCGAATTCGCCTGGAAGAGGATGCTAGGCCGATAAGGCAACCACAAAGGAGATTGAACCCCATCATGATGGAAGTGGTCAAAAAAGAGGTAATCAAGCTTCTGGACGTAGGAATTATTTTCTCTATCTCAGACAGCCCATGGGTAAGTCCGGTCCAAGTGGTGCCAAAGAAAGCAGGGGTAACTGCGGAAGAAAATCATGAAGGGGACCTTGTTCCAATTCGAAAGCCTACGGGTTGGCGCCAGTGCATCGATTACCGTAAATTGAACGCAGTGACCAAGAAGGATCATTTTCCCCTTCCATTCATTGATCAAATGGTTGAAAGGTTAGCCTGTCGTGCCTATTATTGTTTTTTAGATGGTTTTTCTGGTTATTTTCAGATAGCAATTGCGCCAGAGGATCAAGAGAAAACAACTTTCACTTGCCCCTTTGGCACTTTTGCCTATCGAAGAATGCCTTTTGGATTGTGTAATGCCCCTGCAACATTCCAGAGGTGCATGATTAGCATTTTTTCTGAATATGTAGAGAGGATAATTGAGGTATTCATGGATGACTTCAGTGTCTATGGTGATAGCTTTGACGATTGCTTAGATAACCTGACATTGATTTTAAAAAGATGCATTGAGACTAACCTGGTGCTGAATTGGGAAAAATGTCACTTCATGGTTGAGCACGGGATAGTTCTAGGACATGTAGTGTCATCTAAAGGAATTGAAGTTGATAAAGCTAAAATAGATGTGATATCTGCTTTACCTTACCCCGTAACTGTACGGGAAGTTCGTTCTTTTCTAGGACATGCAGGTTTCTATCGCAGATTTATCAAGGATTTCTCAAAGATCGGGGCACCACTTTTCAGGCTTTTACAAAAGGATGTCAGTTTTGAATTCGACGAGAAATGCGAAGAAGCGTTCGAGAAGTTGAAAAAATTACTCACTTCTCCACCTGTCATCCAACCCCCTGACTGGAATCTCCCATTTGAAATCATGTGTGACGCCAGTGATTACGCAGTGGGTGCGGTACTAGGTCAAAGAGTGGGAAAGGCAGCCCACGCTATATACTACGCACCTCGAGCCTTGAACGGAGCCCAATTGAACTATTCGACCACCGAGAAAGAGCTCCTAGCTGTAGTTTTTGCTTTAGAAAAATTTCGTTCCTATTTACTTGGTGCTAAAGTTATTATTTTCTCTGATCATGCAGCCCTGCGGTATCTGTTGACCAAGAAAGAGGCAAAACCGCGACTGATAAGGTGGATATTGTTGCTACAGGAGTTTGACTTGGAGATCAGAGATAAGAAAGGGGCAGAGAATTTGGTAGCAGATCACTTGAGTCGGGTACAAGTCACCAAGGACGATATCCCGTTGAGAGAAAGCTTCCCTGACGAGCACTTATTTTCTGCTAATTTAACTTTGCCCTGGTATGCAGATATTGTTAATTTTCTAGTTACTGACAAGTTTCCTGCAGGATGGCCTAAGGCAAAAAGGGATAAGTTAAGGAGTGACGCAAAATCTTACATCTGGGATGATCCTTACCTCTGGAAACGTGGTGCCGACCAAATCATTCGCAGATGTGTGAGTGAAAATGAATTCCAGTCTATTTTAGCTTATTGTCACTCTTTTGCATGTGGAGGTCACTTTGGACCAAAGAGAACTGCTCGTAAGGTTCTAGAGAGTGGATTTTATTGGCCAACCCTCTTTAAGGATACCTATTTATTTTGTAAGTCATGTGATAAGTGTCAACGAGTAGGTAGTATTTCTCGAAGGGATCAAATGACCCAGACCCCAATGATTTTTGTTGAGATTTTTGATGTTTGGGGTATTGATTTTATGGGCCCTTTTCCTTCATCTTTCGGTTTTTTGTATATATTGCTTGCCGTAGATTATGTCTCAAAGTGGGTGGAAGCAAAAGCCACCCGCACTAATGATTCTAAGGTGGTTGCAGAATTCATTAAATCTAATATCTTTGTCCGTTTTGGGATGCCACGAGCAATTGTAAGTGATCGGGGTACCCATTTCTGCAACAAGACGATTGCTGCACTTTTTAGGAGGTACGGTGTCTTGCACAAAGTCTCCACGTCTTACCATCCGCAGACAAACGGTCAGGCGGAAGCATCGAATCGGGAGATCGAGTCGATTTTGGAAAAAATGGTTCGACCTGACAGGAAGGACTGGAGTGTGAGACTTGAAGATGCCTTGTGGGCATATAGAACGGCGTACAAGACACCGATCGGCATGTCCCCTTACCGTTTGGTATTTGGGAAGCCATGCCACCTTCCTGTCGAATTCGAGCATAGAGCATTTTGGGCGGTCAAGCAATGCAACATGGATATCGAAGAGGGCGGAATTCAAAGGAAGCTACAGTTACAAGAATTGGAGGAGATTCGCAATGAAGCCTACGAGAATGCTGTGATGTATAAGGAGAAAAACAAGATTTTTCATGACCAGCAGGTCTCTAGGAAGACGTTTGAATGTGGACAAAAAGTTCTACTGTATCACTCGAAGTTGAAGTTATTTCCAGGTAAGTTACGTTCTCGTTGGATTGGTCCCTTTGTTGTAACTAATGTCTTTGATTATGGTGCAGTGGAGATCCAGAGTCTGAAGACGGAGAAGAAATTTGTGGTGAATGGTCATCGTCTCAAGCCGTATTATGATGAGATTCCAGTTGAGCGGGTAGAGATGATGCATTTGGAGGACCCAATTTGCTTGGTTTAAGCAAATTATGGGCTATGTCTAGCCAAAGACACTAAAGAAAGGCGCTTTTTCGGGAGGCAACCTGAATATTGATTTTATTGTTTTTAGTTGTTCATTTCTTTCATTTTGTCGTTTCCTCGTTGGGTAGTAGCAGTATTAATATTTCCTTCACTGAAATCAGGAAGACCAATCTTGGCGTGCCCACGCGGTGTTGGTGTATCCTGAGATCAGAGGACGAATACCAATCGTGGCGTGCCCACGCGGTGTTGGTGTATCCTGAGATCAGAGGACGAAGAGCAATCTTGGCGTGCCCACGCGGTGTTGGTGTCTACTGAGATCAGAGGACGAAGAGTAATCTTGGCATGCCCACGCGGTGATTGACGACCCAAAACATGGATTTAAAAAAAAAATAATAATAAATTAGTTATTATTATTATTATTCCTTTCAAAAAAAAAAAAAAAAAATTAAACATTTAAACAGTTTCAAAGAAATTTTCTTTTAAAACCTTAGGCTTTTATTTTCTTTTCAAAATTCAGAATTTTGAAATATAAATTCGGAATAATGAAGAAACAGGGTTTTGAGAAATTTATATTTTAAAAAAAAAAAAAAAAAAAAAACTCTTTTTCTTCTTTCCTTCTCTTCTTTTCTTTCTTTCCTTTTTCTTTCTTCTTTCTTTCTTTCTTCCCCGCTGCCCCTCTTTCCCTTTTCCTTCTTTTCTCCTTTCGGCCGCCACCCCTTTCACCCAAATCACCAGAGCCGCACGCCGCCGTGAGCCAAGGCCAAGCTGCCCACGCTCGCTGCGCGCGGCTACTCTCGGTCGCGGCTCCCTAAGCCCGAGCGCCACGACCACAGCCACCCTCCAGCCGCCGCCGACCTCCACCGCGCCCCAGCTTCGGCCAGAGCCCACGAGTTTCCACCACCACCGCAGCAGCTTCACCCACGCAGGCTGCCGTCGACGCCGCCGCCCACCTCGGGCGACCCTCCTCCGCCTACACCAGCCGCGCGCAACTCCAACCTCCACCGCCTACCCTTCCACGCAGCCGCGAGCTAGTGGCTCGCCGCGCCTTTCCACCCCCTCCAAGCTCCAGCTCCTGCAGGCCCACCTCGCTGCGCACGGTTTCTCTCTGCCCAGTTCCACTTCGCCGCCACAGTCGCACGGCTGCTCAACCCTCCAGTCCACCGCCAGTCCTCCAGCAGCTTCCTCCTCGCGCGGGTAGACCAGGCGCTACTTCTGGTGAATTCGTCCTCTATTTTTCTTTTTCCTATTTTTTTAATCACTGAGTAGCTGAGGCCAGAGCACTAGTTTTTCATTAGCTGATGCCAGATTTTTGATTTGCTAGTTGAGAACAAAACTTTTGGGCTTATTTGGGTGCTGTGGTATATCTGTGGTTGGTTGTTGATTATTTGGTAAATTTTGTTCTCAATCGATGGTATTTGGGGAGAATCTTTACTCGATTTGACTGTTTATTTAGTTTTTGAGGGGGGGGGTTTCTGCTCTGTTTATTTGCTTAATTATTTCTTAGGGGAACTGTTTGGACAAGTTTGAGTTTAATTGCTGCCAAGTGGGGGTATTTTCTACTATTTGTTGAACAGCTAGCCCATTTGCTTTAATTTTTCCCTGTGACTCACCAGTGGTACTGGTTGAGCACTTTAGCCTATCATTGTTGCTGTTTTTGGAGATACTGGCTTACGTTCAGGTTTCATTTCTGGGGGATTGGGTCTCATTTGCTGAAATTTGTGTCCAATTGTGGGTGAATTGCTGCGATTATTTGCTTATTGGGGGCGCCCGTGACGCTTATACTTGCTTATTGGGGGGCGCCCGTGACGCTTATACTTGTTTATTGGGGGCGCCCGTGACGCTTATATTTGCTACTTGGTTGTTTGGGTTTGCCTGTTGACCACCATGGTGAAGCCTCGATCTTCTTCTAAGACTAGGACCCCTAGGACTCCTAAGCCCCCTCCACCTCAGCATTCCATTCCCGCCTCTGACCCCTCGCACGACCCTTCCTCCTCTGGGAGGCGGGCTCGTCTTGGGCGACAAAGAGGCGTCCATATCTCTGACCCTGCACATTTTGGGGGTCATTTGGTTTTCACCAGGGCAGCCGACAAGCGACGCTATGAAGCGGCTTGTGAACAACGGATTATTCCTTGTCGTTATCGGGACCCCGCCACCTTGGGCCTTCTAAATATTAGCGTCCCCTTTCACGATTTGATTGAAGCCATCGGGTGGCGCCCCTATTCTCGTATCACTGACCTCCCGGCTTTTGTCGAGTTGGTTAGGGAGTTTTATGCCACGTTTGAGTTTGACCTTCCCACTAATTACACAGTTTCTACCCCTGATGTCATCCGCTTCCGTTTAATGGGCCAGGAATTCCACCATTCCATAACCGACTTCAATCTGGCCTTTGGTTTCATTGATCCTGCTTATGCTGAGTCTAGGGAGTATGCCGAGAGTGCGTGTGACTATGTCCAGCCGTTTTTCTCCCGCTATCGCTTTCTTTGGGATGATATGTCTGTAGACAGGGATAACTATGACCCTCGTCTATCCAAGGGGTCCTATCTGAAGGACCCGGCCTCTCGCTATATCCACCGTTTTTTGGCTTACAGTTTCTCTGGTAGGCGAGATAGTTCGGGCATTCTGTCTAAGCCCGAATTTTTCTTTATATGGTGCATGCAAAACAATATTAAGGTTAATCTTGGGTGTTGGCTCGCGTCTCAGTTCAAGTCCATTTTGCCTAAAAAGAAGCGGCCCTTGATTCTTGGGTCTTACATTACTCACTTGGCTATTAATTTGCATGTCCTTGATATTTCTAACCATAACTTGCATATAGCCTGTCAAATGGAGCCTTTGGATATTCCAAGCTTAGAGAAAATGGGCTTAGTTCGGGAGGGCGACAATGGTTGGGAGGTTGTTCCCCCGGGACCGCTACACCCTCCCCCTCGTTCACCCTTTGCCAGTGCCTCCACGGCAGGCGGTGATCCCGGTCCATCTTCCTCCGTTCCCCTCCATTCCGCCCATACGGATGAGGAATGGAACCAGCTCCGCAACACAGTCGAGCGGCTTGAGATTCGGCAGAAACACATGGACGTTAACATTCACAATATGGCGCAGAATCTAGCGGCTTTTATGCAGCAAGCCGGGTTCCCTCCTCAGTTTCCGCCTAACCCACCCTTGTCTTGACGCCTTCAGGGAAGTACCGTTGCCCCTCCCCTTTTTCTGCTATTATCTTTTCACATTGAGGGCAATGCGTCATTTAGGTGTGGGGGGGTCAGTTTGGGTGCTAGTTCTCGTTTCTTTATTATTATTATTATTATTTTTTTTTTTTTGTTTAGGTGTTGCTCCTTTATCTCTTTTGAGTGTCTTTCCCTTGCTTCTATCTTGGTGAATATTTTTGGCAGCGCATTTTTTCTTGTTAGTTGTGGTTTGTACTATGAGTTGAGTTACAGTGGCAAGTAAAAGCATGCCTTCTTGGTGAATACTTTGAGTTTAACGACGTGGTGCAATTTATGGCTAACTTGTTTAGGCAGTACAAATATTTTGTTGGCACTGTTGTGTAGTTTGGTCTCCTGTTTACCTTAGTTCTCCATATTTGGGACATGACGCAGGCTATGATCTGTAATTATTTGGTATCTTGGTGTTCTCTGGTGAATAATGTATGGCTATACTCCGCTAGTGTCGCCACCTAGTAACCGGGAGTCTTCACCACAAGTGTCGGCTCTCGCGTCAAAAAGTGACGATATCTATGAGTAAATAGACCGGGAGCTACGAAAGGTCGAGTAACTGGGCTCTTTCATCTAAAAATGTCAGAGTTCACGTCAAAAGATTTGAATAGCTCGGGGCTAAGCATCGGAAACAAATGAAAAAAAAAATGGAAAAAAAGAGAAGAAAAAAAAAAAGAGGGAGAGACAAAACAGAAAAGAAAAGGAAAAAAGAAAATCAGATGTGGAGAATATGTGAGTTTATGATCATATTAGCCTGCCGATCCTTGGTTCGTATTGTTGAGATTTTGGTTGCCAGTTGACTTAATTACTAATTGTTGCTAGTTATTATTTGGATTTCCTAAGCGAGTTAGCCATGAATTGGACAGGTCTATGGACTTAAAAGCTAACCGTGAGAGATATGTCTTGACACTTAGTCACTAGACCTTGATTTTGGGTATAGGCACAGCTGGCTATGATAAAGTGAAAGCTAGCCATTGTTGAGTTAAATTTTCCTCATGCTTGAGGGCAAGCATGATTCAGGTGTGGGGGGAATTGATAGGGTACAATTTGTTAGTAATTTTATTATTAATTTTCCCTTTTATCCCTGACAAATATTGTGTTAATTGCTGATATTTACTCATATTTGGTATGTGGACGTAATTTCAGGAATAAAGCAGAAAACTACCAAAAGGAGGGACTTTATGGAAAATATGGAGACTTCTAAGGGCTTCAATGCTTGGGTCCTTGAATTTGTGGGGACCACAAGCTAGTGGAAGGCATCTAGTCATTTGGACTCTAAAAAGAAAGCTACGGAAGGAGACTTGGGGCAAGAAGTACTTTGAAGGCTTTGCCCACATGTGTGGGGACCACGTAGAGAGCCTTGAGTTATCTTTCTTTTGTGGCTTAAATAGGGAACGGAGAGTAGCAGAGGAATATCTCTGGTTTTAGTCTTTTAGTGTAGCTTTACTTTTTCCTTCTTTTGACTGGCCTCTGGCACGCCAGGTGTTCGACAAAATTCCCCAACGGGAAAAACACCTTTTATTCCTTGCTTCTTAATAGAAAACGCTATGCCTTTGCAATCCATTAATTCGTGTGGTGATTTAATTATGCGGCGTGGCTAAATCTTCCATCTAGTCAAGGATCAACTCGACGGCGCAGTCCCGAAAACCTGTGAGATCTAATTAGTTTTCACGCGTTCCTTAATTTATTAATAATTGCACGTTGCCTGCTTGTATTTTCATGGGATTATTTTATTAATTGGATGTCAAGGGCCCGATGTTCAATGTGATTTATTAGTCTCGTGCCAATTTAGTCAATTAAATCCGTAATTGTTTGATTGATTAATATTAGTGGCAACTGGTGTGTTTACACATTAGGGGAACGTGCAATCTAATTTAAATAACCCTCGTAGCGTGTTATTGGTTAGGGCTAGGTTTTTCTAATATTAATGCAATTGGGAAATTAATTCCTACGGTCGTACCTAGGAGTATTTTCTGGTTAGGGGTGATCAATGGTCGTACCTTGGTTATCAATAATTTAAGGAAAAATTGGTCGTCAGACTATAACTAACCTATTAATAAATTAAGTGAACCTCTCCTGCATCAATGATCGGATAAATGGACTGTGCCTGAG